TGAGATATATATGTGTTCATGTATTAGCGCCGCACTTTTTATCTATGTAAGCTTTGTGGATGGCTTGAGATGGGAGCTTGATGCTCCGAAACGCGTAGCCACACCCTCGCTGTAGATCTGCCTTGCTGTGACGTCATCCTTGGCCGTGTGCATTCCAAGATGGCTCCTGCGCATCCAGTTCTGGTCCTTAGCGTTCCTCAACCAGCTGGCAGCTGTAGAAGCGCCTCCAGCCCAGGGATCTCTCACCGCAGGCTACAGTGGGAACATGGCGAATAGTTACAGTGGATGAGTGATTTGTTTTACTTCCAATTGCCTTTTTTTTTTTTTTTTTTTTTTTAAATAAATTTGCTACTAACCACTACACTTAGCTGGCGCCCCCTTTCTTATCTTTCTCTAACCACTTTGGACACTGCCTAAAAAAATGAATTTCTTTTGATGCGTAAGGAATGTATTTAGTGGAATTAAAGTACAGTTGGGCTTTAGAGCGGCGGATAAGATTGTGCGTCACTCGATCTCGCTTTCATTTATGCAGACAGAGCAGAAAAACCAAGCTGTCAGCTGGGTTGGAAAACTCAGCTGGTGTGCAGAGGATGAAGGCAGTTGAACATAAAAGTAGGAATACAAATAATTACATGTAGCAGTTTAAAATATCTTTAGCAATTTTCAGCAAAAATATTTATATAGAATAAATGGAACTTTTTACATCTGCCTGGAATACATCTTGAACCGTTCCAAAGTGTTCCAATCACGATTAGTCAATTTAGACTTATGAGCCTTCATTGCAGCAGAACTATTATCCGAATAGTACGAAAACTGATCTTTAAAAACTAACCAATGTTAAATTAAAAATGTTTACATGAAAATCAGTAAAATGTCATCATTAAATAATGCATGATTAAAACGTCCTAGGCGAGGATTTAAAAAAAAAAATTGTTGATTAATTTTATAGACAATAAAAATAACTTCATTTTCCTCCTTCTCTGGTTTAATGAACGTGCTGTGCAGCCCTTTATAAACCAAGACGACTGTCCCTTCATGAATCCTGTTTAGCAGACCTTCTGAAGCAAGGTATATCGACGACATACCGAGGAACTCCGCGGCTGTGCCACAAAAGGTTTGTCACCTACCTTCCCTTACAATATCAGGAATGCAAGACCTAGTCCAGGAATATGAACAGATGTCAAAGTTGGGAAACTTTTCCCATGCCTGCTGCCTTCTTACAAAACTGGGCCAATCCCAGGCCTTTGGTGAGAAGTTACTTGGTATTCATCGTTAAAATTCCCACTGGCCTTGCCCGCTCAAGCATCCAGACGTTGAATCTCAGGGCGGCAGTCTACGTCACGGGACTCGCTGCGTGCCCTCATGTAGTCGCTGGACTGGCGCATATTTTGGGACCGGCTGCCGAATCTCCATTTTCGCAGTGCCAGGTAGGTGTTGACAGAGTAAGAGAGGGTGGCTAAAAAGCCAAAAACCTATAAATAGACAGATAATCCTAAAATTACCGATTTAGATAACACAATATAAGATATATCATTTTATTTGAAAGAAAAAAAGCAAAGTACAGATGTTTGTCTTAGAAAAGATGTGTTTCCATTAACAATAGAAGAGACTTTTCACGATGGGCAAAGTGAAAAATGGCAGCATGTGCAATCCATCAGAAAAAATCCAGTCCACTGAGGAACACAGTTGTAATAATAATTTAGCAACCCATTTCTCCTGTAGGTGGCAGTATAACCCTAGATTATATATCATCAAGCTGTGTCCCTTAAAGGATAAATTCACCTTTTAACAAAAAATAATAAATACACTTTTTTTGCAGGTAAAAAAATGTGCATTTATTATTTTTTGTTTTTGGAGCCTCTAAAGTATTGAACCAGCGATCAGCAGATAGCCGGTGCCAAGCAGGTATCCCCCTGACCTGTTAGTAGTATCTGCTTGCTTGTATGGGATGTGCAAGAAAGCAGATATACTGACAGGAAGGCTCAATGAACAACCATGGCGCTGTGTAAAAGAAAATAAAAAGCACCCCTGTTGTCATCCACACACACCTGAATGCAAATGCACACATAGGGTTTTGTTCATGTATGCAAACAGCGATTGCGCCACATGTGCGGTATTTGCCATGAACACTGGAATGGGAGCTATACAAATCTTGAGGCTTAACATGTTGGGTATCCATTTACTCGATACAGCCCCAACTTTTAAATTTTACTAAAAAAAAATATATATATTATATTGTGTTCGTGTGCACTAAAACCCATTTTATTGAGTTTTTGCCTGAAAATATGCATTTGATACACAATTTTCACGCAATGTAAAGAAAAAAAAACTACAACCATGGACTTCATCAGGGCTTTTGCAGTTAGTAAATATATTACTTTTGGAGGAGTTAAAATAATTAAAAATTAAAGATTGCCCAGGTAAAAAATGGTTAAGTTAGCGCAGTGCTTCTCAAATAGTGGGGCGCGCCCCCCAGGGGGGGCGCGAGGCTCCGTCAAGGGGGGCGCGTTTGACCTCGGGGAACAAACCGTATTTTCCGGCGTATAAGACGACTTTTTGACCCTTGAAAATCTTCTCAAAAGTCGGGGGTCGTCTTATACGCTGGTATACGTTAGGGTGGAACTTTTTAGGCGCGCGCGGTGCCGCCGCCGCCCCCCCCCCCCCTTCCGACAGAAGGGACACTAAGTACAGGGGTGGGCAGAGGGCTGCTGTCTCTTACCTGGCTCCCACGATGATCCATCCAGGAAGCGCTGCTCCTTCCGTCACTCCGGCCACTCCCTCACTCCTGCCGCTCGGCTCCGCCTCCCCACCGGTGATTGGCCGCCAGAACTGTAGCTCAGGAAAGGTACACAGGCGGCCAATCACGGGCGAGGAGGCGGAGCCGAGCGGACCCGCGAAAATTGAGTGAGGGAAAAGCCAGTAAGTGTGCAGTGCAGAGGTGCTGCTGCAACCACATATGCTGGCTGCAGCAGCACCATACTGCGCAACAGGGGTCAGCAAGTGTCATTGGTGTCAGTGGGAGGAATAGTGCCGCATCATTGGTGTCACTGATACTAATGATGGGGTATTATTCCTCCCACTGACACCAACGATGGGGCACTATTCCTAAGTAAATGTTGGTGATCGGTTTGAATTCATTATTATTTATTGATTTTATGGATTTTTTCAGTATCATATGGTTTGACATGTCCAATCAAAAAATGTTTATAGTTTAATTAAGGATTTAATTTTTTTTGAATTTCTAATGCACTTTAAATCTTTTCTGCTACAGTTAATAAAGCTATTCTTTGTTGTAAATTGATCCACATTTCTTTCTTTTTTTATTCTCTTATACGTTAATAAGGATACAGTGTTATGCAGAGGTGTACTTATAACAATTTTATAGACAAATGATACTATTTACAGTCGCGTGGGGGGCGCAAAATGTTTTCTTCTTCCTAGGGGGGGCATGACAGAAAATAATTGAGAAGCACTGAGTTAGCGGATGACTGCACTTCCAGTAAACTCAAAAATGACTCCTTTATTCATACAAATCCAGGTAAAAACAAAAAAGAGGCCTCCAACACGTTTCACAACAAAAAGTGCTCAAAGTTTAATCCAATGGTTTCCCAATTCCCATACTTGAACTTCTACTGCAGGTGAGCTAAAACTGTGTTAGTAAGTGGAACTTTTGTCAGAAAATTAACCCCTTGGCGTTGGCGCCTTTAGCCCTCTAAGGGGTTTGTGACACTGAAAGTGGGGAAGGGTTTAGGGTCATGTGACCGCTGTGATTGGCTGTCACAGCGGTCACATGATTGGAAAGCTCCCAATCGCAAGTAGTGATTGGGACCTTTCCGTGAGGCGCCGGTAAATGTGCCGTGAGTACGCAGGGTGTGCACTCTTGGCACGTTTCTTTACATTGGGTACCAAATATGCAGCCTCTTGGTGTCAAGACCCAGCCGCTGAGAGGCCGCATACTTGCGTACTGTTGGCGCCAAGCAGTCAAGTTCTGCTAGATCCCTTCAGGCCCGCCCATTTTGCAGGTCTAGTTATGTAAAATATTACAAATAAGTGTCTATGCAGTTTAAAATCCAATAATACACTGTCTCACCCTGCTCTGCACATGCTCAGTTGCGCTCTATTTTTGGCACTGTGCCGAAAACCTAGAGGCCAATCTGAGACAGCCTAAAAATTTACTGCTGCTCGAGGGCTCTGGGCTTCAGCAAAATGGCAGTCGCTAGCAAGAAGTAACAGGAACAATGCTGGAGGCAATTTACAGCACACACTAATTTTGGTAGCAGAATTATTTTTAGCACGTTGCTATGGGTAAAATGCCACTTTAACAGCCTTGGGTAGCATTGGTCTAAGAAAAAAAAACAAAATAAACCATTAGGGGGCAGCAGAGACCCTTGTATCTGGCGTATTACAATGGAGCTGTGTACGGATAAATCCAGAGGGGAGCGGATGTTTCAAGTAATTTCATACTTCTAGAGTCCACTTAACTGGTTAGAGGCAAGGTCTATGAATAGAAATAGGGGGGGGTTGCTACTGGTGACCTACTTCTTAAAATGCTAATAGACTATTGTGCTGTTGCAACGGCTTTCATATGTTATGGCTCTCTAACCTGCAAAAACAAGCAGAATAATCAGTAGAAGCTGCAGAATTGTTCAGGTTCAGCAACACAAAAACGATCAAAGCCACTGGGTCAGCACAAGAGCCAGGCAACCAGCATTTTCAGAAGAAAAGGTCAGCAATGTCAGCCTTCATATTTTTCAGCATATTTTTTTTTTTTTTTTTTTAAGATGCTCCAGTTGTGCCATTTACAACATTCTGCATACATACAAAATTCTGGATGCTGGCATTTGTGCGGCACCACCCGCATAGATGTGAACCACGCCTTACTGCACATACAGACTGATTTTACTGTTGTGGATTTAGTAACACTTTTGGAGGTGACAGGGTCTCTTTAACTTGGCGGTCAATGGGAAGAATATCCCGTACACTGGAGGTCAATGGGAAGAATGTCCATTACACTGGAGGTCAATGGGAAGAATGTCCCTTACACTGGAGGTCAATGGGAAGAATGTCCCTTACACTGGAGGTCATGGGACAGAATGTCCCTTACACTGGAGGTCAATGGGAAGAATGTCCCTTACACTGGAGGACAATGGGAAGAATGTCCCTTACACTGGAAAACAATGGGAAGAATGTCCCTTACACTGGAGGTCAATGGGAAGAATGTCCCCTTACACTGGAGGTCAATGGGAAGAATGTCCCTTACACTGGAGGTCAATGGGAAGAATGTCCCTTACACTGGAGGTCAATGGGAAGAATGTCCATTACACTGGAGGTCAATGGGAAGAATGTCCCTTACACTGGAGGTCAATGGGTAGAATGTCCCTTACACTGGAGGTCAATGGGAAGAATGTCCCTTACATTGGAGGTCAAAGGAAGAATGTCCCTTACACTGGAGGTCAATGGGAAGAATGTCCCTTACACTGGAGGTCAATGGGAAGAATGTCCCTTACACTGGAGGTCATTGGGACAGAATGTCCCTTACACTGGGAGGTCAATGGGTCAAGAATGTCCCTTACACTGGAGGTCAATGGAAGAATGTCCCTTACACTGGAGGTCAATGGGAAGAATGTCCCTTACATTGGAGGTCAAAGGGAAGAATGTCCCTTACACTGGAGGTCAATGGGAAGAATGTCCCTTACACTGGAGGTCAATGGGAAGAATGTCCCTTACACTGGAGGTCAATGGGACAGAATGTCCCTTACACTGGAGGTCAATGGGAAGAATGTCCCTTACACTGGAGGTCAATGGGAAGAATGTCCCTTACACTGGAGGTCAATGGGAAGAATGTCCCTTACACTGGAGGTCAATGGGAAGAATGTCCCTTACACTGGAGGTCAATGGGAAGAATGTCCCTTACACTGGAGGTCAATGGGAAGAATGTCCATTTACACTGGAGGTCAATGGGAAGAATGTCCCTTACACTGGAGGTCAATGGGAAGAATGTCCCTTACACTGGAGGTCAATGGGAAGAATGTCCCTTACACTGGAGGTCAATGGGAAGAATGTCCCTTACACTGGAGGTCAATGGAAAGAATGTCCCTTACACTGGAGGTCAATGGGAAGAATGTCCCTTACACTGGAGGTCAATGGGAAGAATGTCCCTTACACTGGAGGTCAATGGGAAGAATGTCCCTTACACTGGAGGTCAATGGGAAGAATGTCCCTTACACTGGAGGTCAATGGGAAGAATGTCCCTTACACTGGAGGTCAATGGGAAGAATGTCCATTACACTGGAGGTCAATGGGAAAAAATGTCCATTACACTGGAGGTCAATGGGAAAAATGTCCATTACACTGGAGGTCAATGGGAAGAATGTCCCTTACACTGGAGGTCAATGGGAAGAATGTCCCTTACACTGGAGGTCAATGGGAAGAATGTCCCTTACACTGGAGGTCAATGGGAAGAATGTCCCTTACACTGGAGGTCAATGGGAAGAATGTCCCTTACACACTGGAGGTCAAAAGGAAGAATGTCCCTTACACTGAAGGTCAATGGGAAGAATGTCCCTTACACTGGAGGTCAGTGGGACCTTAACTGGGCAATGCAACTCATTCAGGTCTACCCAAAAATGAAATCTTGTTTTTGGGTGATATGTATAATAATATTTGAATATAGCTATTAATACCACACAAGAAGACAAAACAGGGGAAAAAAAAAAAAAAAGTTTTTTGGAGCGGAGACCAGGCAGCAGAATCTGGGTTAAAGCCCACATTTACTGGAAAGACTTCAGAAAGCCGCGTTCTTACCGCTGCAGAAATTTCCGCCCCAGACTTGTGGTTCAGCGAGGCCAAAATTACAGAGGCAATGAAGAAAAAAAGAGCGCTGAGTCCGGTGTTTACCAGATCCTGAAAGACATAAACACACAACAATGAAAATGACAGGACGGCACATTCTTCTGCCCTACAATTCAAGCCCTCTGCAGCCAGGCTGTGGGCTCACGTGGCAGCTCAGAAGGACTCTGAAAACACATCAGTCCGCCATCGCTGGCCTTTTCTTTTCAAAATTACCGTATATTTCCTTGGCTGTTAACCTCTCTGGCTTTATAAGTCACTGACCTGGAACAAATACGTAGATAATAGGTTTTGACTTCACTTGCTGCATGCTTAATCAGGGTCAGTGACTCAAACAGATATCAACTTATGAGCTTCCTGTTGTGTCAAGCACATTGAATTGCAAAAGTAAATCTTTACAACGTCAGGAATTCCTCTCTAAAAAGTTGCCCACACCCAAAGCAAGTCTTCTTCACCAACAATTGGATTTCACAACATTCTTTGTTTTTGCAGAAATAGCCAACAGAACGAACAGAAAAAATGTGAATCAAAAAACTTAAAGGAACACTTTTTAATCTGAGTCTAGCACCAAGTTAATGAAACTCCTGGGATATTGATCTGGTCGGTGAAATAGCAGAGGGGGTTGATAATCAGTTTCAGCTGCTTTGTGTTAATTAAATGAACAGGTGCACTAGGTGGGCAACAATGAGATGACCCCCAAAACAGGAATGGTTTTACAGGTGGAGGCCACTGACATTTTTTTTCCCTACTCATCTTTTCTGACTGTTTTTCACTAGTTTTTCATTTGGCTAGGGTCAGTAGCATGAGGCGATACCTGAACCCTACAGAGGTTGCACAGGCAGTCCAACGCCTCCAGGATGGCACATCAATACGTACCATTGCCAGAAGGTTTGCTGTGTCTCCCAGCACAGTCTCAAGAGCATGGAGGAGATTCCAGGAGACAGGCAGTTACTCTAGGAGAGCTGGACGGGGCTGTAGAAGGTCCTTAACCCATCAGCAGGATCAGGTATCTGCCTCCTTTGTGTAAGGAGGAAAAGGATGAGCACTGCCAGAGCCCTACAAAATGACCTCCAGCAGGCCACTGGTGTGAATGTCTCTGGCCAAACAATCAGAAACAGACATCATGAGGATGGCCTGAGGGCCCGTGTCCTCTACTGGGCCCTGTGCTCACTGCCTGGCACCATAGAGCTGGATTGGCATTTGCCATTGAACACCAGAATTGGCAGGTCCACCACTGGCACCCTGTGCTTTTCACAGATGAGAGCAGGGTCACCCTGAGCACATGTGACAGATGTGAAAGGTCTGGAGAAGCCATGGAGAACATTCTGCTGCCTGTAACATCGTTCAGCATGACCTGTTTTGGTGGTGGGTCAGTGATGGTCTGGGGAAGCATATCCATGGAGGGACGCACAGACCTCTACAGGCTAGACAATGGCACCCTGACTGCCATTAGGTATCGGGATGAAATCCTTGGACCCATTCTCAGACCCTTCACTGGTGCAGTGCATCCTGGATTCCTCCTGGTGCAGGACAATGCCTGGCCTCATGTGGTGAGAGTATGCAGGCAGTTCCTGGAGGATGAAGGAATTGATAACACTGAATGGCCCCCAACTCGCCTGACCTAAATCCAATAGAACACTTCTGGGATATCATGTTTCGGTCCATCCAACTCCGCCAGGTTGCACCTCAGACTGTCCAGGAGCTCAGTGATGCCCTGGTCCAGATCTGGGAGGAAATCCCCCAGGACACCATCCGTCGTCTCATTAGGAGCCTCCCCCGACGTTGTCAGGCATACATACAAGCACATGGGGGCCATACAAACTACTGAGGACCATTCTGAGTTGCTGCAATGAAATTTCTGCAAAATGGACTCGCCTGCTGCATCATTTTTTCACTTTGATTTTCGGGGTGTCTTTGAATTCAGTCCTCTGTAGGTCGATCATTTTCATTTCCATCAAACAATGGGGCATCCTTATGTTCCTAACACCTTACCCCGTCCATATCAGTATAGAGATCCAGCAGGAGATTCTTCCCCATTGAGATCTGATAGGTTTTCAAAGTGTTCCTTTCATTTTTTGAGCAGAGTATATTGCAGCTTACCAATCATTAGATGTGATGGCTGCATTTGTTTTCTTTTAGGCTTTTCTCCCCTCGGTTTTCACCTGGTGACCTGGCCAATACCACTTCCTGTATTAGAGCGCCCCCACACTGGATGAAGGAGCAGAGGGGGCATCTTTGGACACCAGCATTGTCAGGGGGAGGGAAGTGTTTCAATGTACTAGCAGATTTAGATACACCAATAAATGGAAACCAAACCCCAGCTAATAATTTAATAAGCAGTTATAGCAAACAGTTTTTTTTTTTCCTTTTGAGATAAAGGTTTTACATAAATAAAAGCTGATCATTGTAAGCACAACTGTCAGTGATAAATAGTTTCTCTGATCTTTGTAACGGATACAATCTGCTGGAGAGCTTTACTTTTGAAAAACAGCTTTACTGGCCAGATCACCAGATAGAAGAAATAAAAGGCAAAAAAGAAAACTAATGCAGCCATTACATCTAAGAAGTGGTAAGCTGCAATATAATAAAAGGTTTGCTTTTGGGTTTAATACCACTTTACGCTTTGAAAGCAAAAAAAAAAAAAAGGAGGAGGAGGAGAGAGCAGAGAGGTTACTTCATCAGTGTGCTACTGCTCCTTCATTTTCAAATGGCAGGCTGTGGGTGACCAAGTAGAATGGTATATTTTACACAACAGAATAGTGAGATCACCAACCTGAATGTGCTGCTTGGCAGGGCTGTGCAAGTTTCAGGTCTGGATGCACAGAGATACAAATTTTCAACAGGTAAGACAGCTCCTATGTTGGTTATTTTACGGTTTGCCTGGAGTTCAGCCTCAACACACAATATAATACTGAATATCCTTGCATTTACCCAACTCACGGCTCTAGTTGTTTAACCTCTTCCCATCCGCCCGTAGTCTGCAGACAGGAGGCTTTGCCGATGTGCACTAACGTACCTGTAAGGCCTGCCTGCATTGGCAGCTCCTGCGCAGCTCACAGAGGGCGTAACTGGAAGCCTGGCGAATGCATGCCCCCCGGACACAGTGGATCACATTACCTCTGTGTCCGGGCAATCACATGGCGTTTTACCATGTGATTGCTGTGTCCAATCACAGTAATCACATAGTAAACACTAGAAAGTGAAACTAAAGATAGCTTCTCTCTGCTCTCAGTGTGAGAGCAGAGAGAAGCAACGCTGCAGTCTAAGTGCACAGCAGTTTATCAGGCTACTTGTACAATCACGGGCTGCAGTGCCAGCCACCCCAGTCTCTAAACAGTGCCCCTGTGTCCCTGATCATTTCCCCAGTGCAGGGACAAGAAACAATGCAGCCAGCCCTGTCACCTGTCCCAGTGCACACAAAAACACCCCCCTACCAATGTCCTGATCACCACCATACCAATGTCTTGATTACCGCCATACTCCACACCAGCACCCTGATAACTGCCATACTAACGCCCTGATCACCGCCGTGCCCCAATGCCGGCGCCCTGATCACCGCCTGCCCCAATGCCGGCGCCCGGATCACCGCCCGTGCCCCAATGCCGGCGCCCTGATCACCGCCATGCCCCAATACCGGCGCCCCGATCACCGCCGTGCCCCAATGCCGGCGCCCCGATCACCGCCGTGCCCCAATGCCGGCGCCCCGATCACCGCCGTGCCCCAATGCCGGCGCCCGGATCACCGCCATGCCCCAATGCCGGCGCCCGGATCACCGCCGTGCCCCAATACCGGCGCCCTGATCACCGCCGTGCCCCAATGCCGGCGCCCCGGATCACCGCCGTGCCCCAATACCGGCGCCCGGATCACCGCCATGCCCCAATGCCGGCGCCCGGATCACCGCCGTGCCCCAATGCCGGCGTCCGGATCACCGCCGTGCCCCAATGCCGGCGCCCTGATCACCGCCGTGCCCCAATGCCGGCGCCCGGATCACCGCCGTGCCCCAATGCCGGCGTCCCGGATCACCGCCGTGCCCCAATGCCGGCGTCCGGATCACCGCCGTGCCCCAATGCCGGCGTCCGGATCACCGCCGTGCCCCAATGCCGGCGTCCGGATCACCGCTGTGCCCCAATGCCGGCATCCGGATCACCGCCGTGCCCCAATACCGGCTCCGGATCACCGCCGTGCCCCAATACCGGCGCCCTGATCACCGCCCTGCCCCAATACCGGCGCCCTGATCACCGCCGCCAATGATCACCGCCAATAATACCGGCGCCCTGATCACCGCCGTGCCCCAATACCGGTCCGCCCTGATCAC